TTCTTTCCATTGTTTACTTTATATTTGTGTTTGTTTGTTTTTTCATTTGCTCCCCTAATCTGCTCACTGCCCCTTCTCTATCTCACCATTTGTTCTGGGAATCTGACCTTCATGAACTGCCTCACCTGGGTTCTCTTGTCCTCTGAATTCCAGGTAGGGTTGGCCAATGGGATGTACCACTACGATACGGAAAAGTGGGATGAGAGAGAGGTAATATATTGATTTCTCTCATTGCCCCCAGCTTTGCTATTCTGCCAGTGGCTGAATTACTTTCAACTATGGCTCCTGTGAGGTGCCCCCATTTCCAACAACTCCACGTGACTTTTTTTTAAAAATATTATTTTATTGATTTCAGAGAGGAAGGGAGAGGGAGAGAGAGATAGAAACATCAATGATGAGAGAGAATCATTGATTGGCTGCCTTCTGCATGCCCCACACTGGGGATCGAGCCTGCAACCTGGGCATGTGCCCTTGACCGGAATTGAACCTGGGACCCTTCAGTTCACAGGCCAAGCAATATCCACTGAGCCAAACCGGCTAGGGCTCCACGTGACTCTTGACTTGACATTATTTCTTCCCTTTAACCTTTCAGGTCTAAGGGTGATAACCACTTCCTACTGTTGATAGTCTCTAAGTTCCCTAAACATTCTTTACTGGAAGTCTTAACCCTGTCTACATTTCTCTAAATAGTTTCTTCAAAATTCCAACTGAGTGTTCCACATACTTCCTTACAGGACTCTGATCGGAGCATTTTTATATGTTGATGACTCTCAAATTAATATTTGACCTCCTCTCTAAGCTCTAGCCTAGAATATTAAATTACCAACTTATCTCCACTTGAATATCATAACCTTACCCATAAGATTTGGGCCTCCTTCAGTCATGGCTTTTTTAGTGACAAGCACTACAATGCACTGAGTTAGAAACTTGCAAAAGATAAAAATATGGAAGTTATCCTTGACACCTCTCCCTTTACCTCTTATAATGAAACTAGAGGCCTGGTGCATGAAATTTGTGCACTGGGGGGGGCGTGTCCCTCAGCCCAACCTGCACCCTCTTCAATCTGGGACCCTCAGGGGATGTCTGACTGCCAGTTTAGGCCCAATCCCTGTGTGATCGAGCCTAAACCGGCAGTCGGACATCCCTCTCACAATCTGGGACTGCTTGCTCCCAACCGCTTGCCTGCCTGCCTGCCTGATTGCCTCTAACCGCTTCTGCCTGTCAGCCTGATCACCCCCTAACCACTCCCCTGCCAGCCTGATCGACGCCTAACTGCTCCCCTGCTGGCCTGATCATCCTCCCCAACTGTCCCCTTCCGGCCTGGTCACCCCCAATTGCCCTCCCCTGCCAGCCATCTTGTAGTGGCCATCTTGTGACCATATGGGGGCGACCATCTTGTGCAAAGGAGTGACAGTCAATTTGCATATTACCTCTTTATTATATAGGATATCAAGTCCTGTTAAAGATACCTCCTAAATAATACCTAAATCCATCCACTTCTTTCCATTTCCACTTCACAAGTGTAGTCTAAGCCATGAACATATGTAGCCTGGAATACTGCAATAAACAGTCTTCTTATTGTCTCCTGTATCTAATCTTTCTCCCTTCCAACCCATTTGGCATACTGGAGCCATAGGGAATCCTTTAAAAATGTAAAATTGGATAATGTCACTCCTAAGCTTAAACCTCAATGGGTTCTTACTGTCTTTAAATAATGTTCAATATCCTTACTATGACCTTCTATATCCACTATGATGTGTCCCTTGTATACTTGAACAGAATCAAACTCACTCTATAACTTGCTTACTAAACTTTAGCCCCTAATTGGTCTTATTATGGTTCTTCAAACACAATGTTCTTCCTAGCTTTGTATATGCGGTTTTCTCTACCTACTAGTAGAATGCTTCTTTCCTGCTCCCCAACACAATGATTATTTCTAATTTCCTAACTCTTATTTATTACTCAGTGTCATCTCTCCTTGCCACCTCCCTAATATAACACCACTTTACACATTGTCAATTATGTAAGGTATAATTGATGTAAAGTAAGTTGGAATAAAGAATCCACCTGTGGCCATGACCTAACTCAGTTGCTTAGAGCATCATCCTGATGTGCCAAAGTTGCCAGTTTGATCCACAATCAGGGCACACACAAAAAACAACCAATGAATGCATAAATAAGTGGAACAACAAATCGAAGTTTCTCTCTCTCTCAAATCAATTTAAAAAGAACACACCTGTGAACTCATTATCACAAACAAGATAACATATTCACCCTCCCAAAGTGTTCCCTATCCCTTTGTAAGCCATCCTTCCCATGCTTCCCAACATGCACTCCCATCTCCAGGAAAACACTAATTTGCTTTTGGTCACTACAGATGAGTTTACAATTCCTACAATTTACGTAAGTAGAATCACACAGTATGTGTCCCTTTTTATCTGTTCTTTAAAAAAACCCTCAGTATATCTACTGGTATATTGAGATTGATTCATGTGGTAGCATGTATCAATAGCTCATTCTTTTTATTGCAGACTAGCATTTTATTGTACATATGTACTACAATTTGTTTAGCAATTCATCTTTTGATGGACATTTGGGTTGCCTCCAGTTGGGGTGATTACAAAGAAAGTTGCTATGAATATTCATGTGCGAGTTTTTGTGTGGACATAAGCTCTCATTTCTCTTGGCTAGGAGTTAAATGGCTGGGTCATATGATAGTTATATGCTTAATGTTTTAAGATACTGCCAACATATAGGACAATTGACATCTTAATAGTATTAAGTCTTCTGATCGATTAACATAGAATACATACCATTTATTTAGGTCTTCTTTAATTTCTGTCAGCAATGTTATATAGTTTTCAGTATACAGGTTTGCACATTGTGTGTGGGGGTCAGATTATGCCATTTTAATGCTATTTTAAGAACTGTTCTTTATCAGTAAATGTTAATTTCTGACTGTTCATTGTTAGTATATATTGTCAGTATATAGAAATACAATTCAGTTTTGTATATTCATCTTGCATTTTAGTAACCTTCCTAAATTTACTTATTATTTTGTTTTGTGCTTTTTTTTTTTTTTAGATTTGAGCTTCTTTTAAGACTGAGATATCAAATGAAAGTCCTTTTTTAACCCAACTGATGTTAACGGCATCCTATATAATAAAATCCTAATATGCAAATCAACTGAACGTTCCACTGGTAGCTATGATGCGCACTGACCGCCAGGCCGCCAACCAGGTCGGGTACCAGCGGGGGCCCTCCAATCCCCTTGCCGGTCACCCCACAGATTGGCCCTGATTGCTGGCCAGGCCTAGGGACCCTACCCTATATATTGGGAACAGTCTTTTAGATTTAAAAATTAAAACCTGGCAATGCTACTCTAACACTGAAAAAATAGGATGATGCAGCAATGACATGCATGGACTCTGGCTTACACATTTTGTGGTCAGCCCTGATTCTGACACTTATAACTGTGTGACAAAGCCAATTACTTAACTTCTCTCTGCTTCAGTTTTTTCACCCATAAGATGGGGAAAATGGTACTACTGCTTCAGAAGGATAATGTTATGTACTACTTTTTATAATCAGGGAAAAAAAAGGTAGCTGCCCATACAACAGCAAGATGCCTTTCACCTGTATGAAAAGTATGGTCACTGGTGCATGCAGTGTCCTGGATTGCGAGAGGGATGTCTGACTGCCGGTTTAGGTCCGACATCCCCCGAGGGGTCCCGGATTGCCAGAGGGCACTGGCTGGACTGAGGGACATCCCCCTCCGTGCACGAATTTCATGCACCGGGCCTCTAGAAGTCTATAAGATAACTAGTTTAATTAAAAACATTAGTCAGGCTATCAAAGTTTTCTAGACCTTAACCTGATAATGCTCTGATGTTCTGACATATTGCCCCTAAATAAATAGAAACCATGTTAAGACTCTTTATTAACATTCACCTTTTCAGATAGAATCTGGGCAGATATTTATTTCTAAAATAAAATTAAGTTGGTTACATCATAGTTTCATAGTTTTTGTTTTTAAAAATGAGATAATTCATTATAGTAAATGAAGACTATTAATTTGGGTTTGGGTTTAGGTACAGCATCATGCTACATTTGATAAACACTAGGATTAATTTATTATTTAAGAAGAGAAAAACAGATAAACATGTACAAATAACAGAAAGATACCAGGGTAAATTTTACTTGGTTCTTGGAAATATGTGGTTAATGGCCCTGGCTGGGTGGCTCAGTTGGTTGGAGCATCGTCCCAGACACCAAAAGGTTGTGGATTTGATTGCTGGTCAGGGCACAAACTTAGGTAGTGTGTTCCACGCCCCCTGGGGCACATACAGCAGGCAACCCATTGATATCTCGCTCTCTCTCAAATCAATAAAAACATATCCTCAGATGAAAACAACAAATATCATTATTATGATGACATGAGGGAAGGAAAGAAGAGAAATGCTAAATGAAGATAAAGTATGATTTTTAAATTTCTGATAAAATAAGATAGAACTTTTATAGAAAAATAAGAGAGAATCTATGTCATTGCATCACCAGATATATAGAGAAAAAAAATATTCACACAATTTTTGTCAAGTAAAATACTGATAAAAGTAAAGGAAAAATAATTTTTGGCAGAACCTACTTTGAGGTACTGCCAAGGCTTCAATGTTCCAAAAGTGGCATTTGATGAACTCAAAACATAGTCAGGTTGGATAGTCCCTAAAACTGCTTCTTTATGGTCTTTATTTACAAGATTTTATATGTGTAAAATGGCATAAGTGAAAAATATGTGTTATTCAATATAAAATATCCAAGCGAATGTACCAATTGATACTCTCTGGAAATCATAAATACAATTCCAAAATAAGTATTAAAGAAATGATTAGCTTAATTTCAGCCAACGTCAAAGCTAAGAAAGGTAGCCAAAATATCTATGGTCTAGCAAGGAGACACTATACGTGAAGAATGAAAAGCAAAGAAATATTCAATCTACTTACAGGAAGTCCCTGTTTTCCTGGCAGTCCCACTTTTCCAGGGTTTCCTGAAATGCCATCTGTTCCTTGCTGTCCTTGCAGGCCCTTTGGCCCAGGTAGGCCTGGAAACCCCTTGGCAATTAAAAATGACTTGGATTATAGAGAGATACTATACAGGTGATTAAATAACAAATACCTTTATATTTATGGGTGGGGAGAGTGTTTACATTTTTAATACCCCATCCAGGATAAATTTTCTTATTTCTTGGATTCCTTAATGGTTTATTATTTGTTTTCAAAAGATCAGGCCACTGTCTTTAAGTTCCCTAAACAAAAATGCCACACTAATCAGCAATTTACTGTGTATCCTTTTCAGTTTTAGTGTAATTCCCTGGTATTTCTCATTGCGCAGCTCAGGTTTTACCCAGCTGTGAAGAAAAGATCAGCTATGTGCACCTGTCTGCTGAGGATGTAGGCTGCCATTCACCATCTACAAAACCTCCTATTGTATTATTTTCCAAAGGAACAAATTATAGCTCTTTTTGTTGCCACTTTGAATTAGTTCTGATTTCTATGACTTGAGTCTGAACAATTTGTTTCCACTCTTGGGCAACTGGATTTTATCTGTACGAATCGCTTATCTGAACATGTTACGATTTATGTTTATTTTCTACTTTTTTGAACCAACACAGGTCACACCCAAAGCAGGTGTCTAGGGAAGACCAGCAGAAAATCTTTGCTAATAAGTCAGTCAACACATATTTGCCTAATCAGAGGAGGAAACTGGTGGCTAAGATAAAATTAATTTTTGTTCTGTGATGAAAGACTTTGTTTTTTCCCCCCTAAGACTTTCTGTTCTTTTACCAGGAAAATGAGAGGTTGAGTGCTTTAATTAAAATCCAGCTCATGTCTTTCTATCCACACTTGATGATCTCTGACCTCTGTCACCAATCACTTAGTCATGATTCCAAGTTCCCTGTTTTTTAGTGGTTCACCATCAGAGAGTAGCATGAGTCCACAGAGAGGGCTCCATAATACTGGAAACAGCATCCTTCATTTACAGAGACTTACATTTAAACAGCAAGCTTGGTTTTGAGCCAATGGTCATATTTTGTTTCCTCTATGTTCCTGCAGGGGCTTAACATTTTTCTTGAAGAAAATCTGATTTATCCAACACTTGTCATAATTGGCCCCAGACTTTTCTGCTTGCTAAATTTGCCAACTCTATTGAGAAAAGCAAGAAAGATGCCAACGGCTGGCTACTTACAGGAATCCCAGGTTTTCCAGAAGGACCAGGAGCTCCTTTTTTCCCCATAGGGCCCTAAAAATGTAAATCACAGTTGTTAAGTGATTGCAATAAATTTAATTAAACTTGAAGGCATAGAAAAGAACCCTGAGACTTGGATGCTGCACTACAGCAAGTACTGCCACTAGCTAGCTAGCTATCACTGGGACTGCATTTAAATGACCTGGGAGTCATTTTCTTCAACCTTAACTGGGAGAATTTGACCAGATCATCTATCAATTTTCATCTAGCTCCAAATTCATAGTTTAAAAATTTAAATCTTAAATCTAAGAAGGAACTGAATAGATTATTTAACAACTTTCAGGCAGGGCCTTTGTCTCTTTATTGAAAGTGGCTAAGTACTTAATTAATTCAGCAGTAAACATTTATTGAGCATTTTGCACCAGGGACTCTGTTATGTGCTGGGAGTGCAAAGTAAAGTCTCTGATCACCAAGCCCTGACAGTGTAGTAACAGACATGACCTAATCAGCCTAAAATGTGCTATCTAGAAGCATAGAGAACATACTTGTGAATTAAAGAACTGATATTTATTTCCCACGGAACTCCTTGTTTTTCCATGTCTGAGACGTTTTAAATCCTAATTGATTCAGCAGCAACTGGTCTGCCAGGATAGTTAGAAACGTTACCCTTGCAAATTATGACATTATTCTGATGATATCCTAAAATTATTTTAAAAAGAGAAATGTGGAATAGAGTGACCTAGTTCATAAATAATAAAAAAAGAGCCTATGATCATTACCACAAATATTTCTCAGAAGTCATCAAAACTTTTCACAAACAGGATAATCCCACCAAAATGGGATGTTATTCAAATCTGAAGATAAATTATGCCAAAGATTCAATTTGATAACAATGAGAAAGTAAAAAAGACTACCTTTTTCTGAAAATGAGCTTGAGCATTTTAAGAAGAAGTAGTCTATCTAGCCACAGAGAAAAAGAGCATTTTATATGAGATAAAAATCTAACTTTTTTAGAATTTGATAATGGGGAAATATATGGATCAAGCGTTCTTCAAACTTTGAAACTATTTACTTGTCTTAAAAAGTCACTAATGTGAAGTTTTTCTAAGGGTAAGAAACAAAAAAATATATGTGATAGTTGGTTACCTGGGTTTAGTTGAAGCTTTTGGAACATATGATCCCTATGATATATATGTGACAACACATATATTTCAGAACACAATAAAGACTTTAAAAATTGAAAAAAATTCTGATTTAAGTTATCTTAAATAGCACTAATTTGGGACCTGGAGAGTATTATGCTAAGTGAAATAAGCCAGTCAAAGAAAAACAAGTATCACATCATCTCACTCATATGTGGAAGGTGGGTGGGAGAGAAGAGATCAACCAAAGAATATATATGCATAACCCATGGACACTAGATTTGTTCTAGATTTATGATTTTCAAAATAGACTTTTTCCTAGCTTATGAATTTCAAAATAATCCTCTGAAAATCATGGCAGGTCATAGTTTGAGAAGAATACATTTTTTTAAAATATAAGAGCGTGATATTTAAATATTAAAAGTCTATCTTTGAGTATTAAAAACCAAAGTTATAAGTGATTCAAGTCATAAAATTGATGCCATAAAGAACAGATTTAGAAGAATTATATCAATGTAACAGAGGATTTTTCCTACCTAAGGGGATATAAGATCTTCAAGTTGGAAAAAGATCAGAAGAGAAGCAAGGCTATTAAATACCGACAGGTATATCTCTAAGAAGAACCCTTTGTCCCACTCTGCCCTTTAAGACTCATGGTGGGTAGAAACAATAATATCCCTGATAAGTTTGGGGATTTGGGCACAGAGATGATGACCAGAGAGACGAATGTCCTCATTGCGAGTCCACATAAGGTACACTGAATGTCCTCATGGAGAGTCCACACAAGCAATAGAGTAGACATTTCTTCATGAGAGGTCCAGGCCAATGGGCTTTAGAGGGTCTGAGTCCTGCAAGCACCCAGCATGGTGTGGGGAGCAGCAGAATGTTATTTCTGTGTGGCCAAGAACACATGCATGTGCTCCTTAGAAGCCCATCTAAGGAGACTTTCCACCTGAGACAAGAAAAAAAGCTATATGTGCTAACATGCCAGGCGGGCCAAGGTACATGCCAATATGGTAGGACTATGGCAATTTGGAAGCCCATCTAAGGAGACGTTGCACCTGAGACAAGAAAAAAGCTCTATGTGCTAACATGCCAGGAGGGCCAAGGTACATGCCAATATGGTAGGACTATGGCAACTGGGAGCCAAAAGGATGATGTGAATTTCAGGGGATTATAGTGTAAACAGATGATGACTGAAGATCAAGGTCACCTTCTATTTCTCTTCTTCACCATTGCCACCCAGAATGTACCTGCAAACTGGACAAGAGAGCGAGTGGGGAAAACTCTAAATCAAATGCAGGACTTTTGAGTGGATGGAGTTAAAGACTGTCAACTCACTAGGTTTCTACCAATTAGGTTTTACCACTAGGTAGGATAGGCATTCAGGACAATTGATAAGTTCTATTATAAGGAACATAAAGTTAATACTTTTAGTATACCTGAATTTGTGGCATAAGGTTCAGTATGCTACACATGTTTGTGAGTGTTTTATTCCAAACATTCAAATAAAATGAATCAAAGAGCTTCACATATCACCACAAACTGATGACATATTGGGATGTCCATTACGTTGGGGATTATTTCAGAAGGTAAGTTCTATTATAAGGAAAATAAAGTCAATAATTTTAGTATACCTAAATTTGTGGTACAAGGTTCAGATATGCTACACATGTTTGTGAGTGTTTTATTCCAAACATTCAAATAAAATGAATCAAAGAGCTTCACATATCACCACAAACTGATGACATATTGGGATGTCCATTACGTTGGGGATTATTTCAGAAGAGTTAAATGTTGGGTACTACAATCTACATATATGGGTCTGTCATCATGAAAACTAGAATGTTATTCAGACTTGGATGAGCAACAGGAAGCAGCTTCCAATAGAATAACACTAAAGCAAGACTAAAAATATTATTTTTAAAGTGTATTTTCCTACTTGTAATAGGACAACTGTGGCAAAATATCTCCATTGAACACAAGTGCTTAACAAATAACAGGACATAATTTCTGCTCTTTTTATATGTTCAATTTAGAAAAGATTTCTTTATTATAATCATTGTCACCATAACTAAAAGGAAGAGGTCAGCTAGAAAAACCACAATCTTACAATGGTTTTAAATACACAAAGATCAACGAAGTATAGAACATTGGCACTTTTTAAAAAATTGTGCATTTAAAAAAAAATCTCAAAGTTGAAATTGCTGGATAGTCTTACGACTAAATTAAGAACCAACCATTACTAAAAATTAATCCTACACAGAGGTGGTCTGCTCAGTAAGAAAGTACAGATTGGGCCGAAGACAAAAAAATATGTTGTCATATAAGGTGTTAGTAGATGATTAATTGAGTTGGTATCATTAGAAGGAAAAATAAGTCACTCTTCAATCCCCAGGAATCAAATATAATAAAGCTACAAGTATTCTACATTACTTTCACACTTAACTTATTTGTATTATTCTTTTTAAATATAAGAACATCATAAATCAATAGACTTTTTTGTTCTTATGATAGGAAAGGCAAATGAATTTTATATGTAGTCTTAAGAGTGCATGAAAAATGTTGCTTTCTTTTTTTTTCTGGCTAGCTTTGAAAAACCCAATCATCCATTTGAAATTAGATCCATTTAAAATAGCTTTCTATTCATTGGGATTGCACCAGTTCATAGACCACTAGAGAAGGTAGTCTGATTCTTTGGAAAACAAACATTTTTAAATGTGCCATATAGTCCAAACCCTAGCTTGTTTGTTTGATTTTATTTAAATGAAGCTGAACAGTTATCTTGATATTTTGCTAGTTCTAACTTGTTAGAGGGCTTTAAAATGCCAACATAAATTTAGTAAGTTAGGCAAGAATTAAAATCTCTGTCTTTTTTTAACCAAGAAATTTCAATCCGCTAAAATCTGGAATTTATTTTATGAGAAAAATAAGATTTTGGCTTGAATTTAAGTGTTTGAAAGCCATTATAAGACAGTTCACTACATTTGCATTACAAGTCTTTTAAAATATGTAGTGGGTCCTGCAGTTGATTTTGACTTACTCTAACTTTTTCTTTATAGTTCACAGTCTCATGTCTGAGAGCCCAAATGAATGAATTAGTTGGTTAAGTAAAAGGTATCATATTTTACTTAATTTATAAACCTTTTTAAAGTAATAGAGCCTTTTATATAATAACATGAGTCAGGAAGTAAAGTTTCTGGTGTTGGTTCTGTTGGTAACTAGTTCTATGATATTAGGCAATTCATAATCTCTCTGGGACTTAAATTTCTTCATCTGCAAAATGAGCAGCTTGTTCACATGAATTAAAGAGGCCATTTCCTAATCTAAAAAACTCCCCAAACCTATAAATTTAAAGGTTTGCAAAAACAAGATGACAGCAATGGACAGGATCCACTTGACCAATGAAGGTGAACTTAAATAAAGAATAGAGTCAATGATTATTCTTGTAACAACTATTACTATTTTGCATTCTAGGAGGCCTTTTAATACAACCTTGCACTGCATGCGAACATTACCCAAAATAGGAAATAACTAGTTCTCCGGGGTTACATAGAATTTAAACCATGGCTCCTTAGCACCTTTCAGTTCTGATACCCAGGAAGAGCTAACTACGTAGGCTGGAGGTGCAGTTGTCTAGAAAGAATATTTGATTTTCATTGGCATAATTATAACAGATATTAAAAAACATCAAAAAAATGTCTTCTTCCTGAGATATGTCAAAGAGAAAACATTGAGAATATAGAAGTACTAATTGTAAAAGATTAGCAATTTCAGAATCAAACCTTGGAAAAGCATTTGCATTCATAAGCACTTAATGCAAATATAGGAAGTTATGTAAAAGCAGTAGCAGTGTTCTAGGTTCACAGATTTTTCCACAACTTTTCCCTTTTTTTTAAAAAAAATGTTTTTATTGGTTTCAGAGAGAGGAAAGGAAAAGGAGAGAGAGAGAGAGAGAGAGAGAGAGAGAGAGAGAGAGAGAGGGAGAAACATCAGTTATGATGAGAGAGAATCATTGATCGGCTGCCTTGTGCATTCCCCCTACTGTGGATGGAGCCAGCAACCGGGCATGAGCCCTGATTGGGAATTGAACCCTGACCTCCTGGTTCATGGGTCCATGCTCAACCATTGAGCCACACCAGCCGGGCACTTTTCCCATTTGGGTATTAAAAATTTTAAGTGATTGAGACAAATGCCTTCTTTTTTGTTAAGAGTTGCCTTCAATGGGATACTTATTATTTATTAGTTCTTATTTATTAAGAGCCTGACTGGGAGCTACTAGGTAGATGCCAACACTATTCAAAATGGCTTCAGGTGAGGGAACACCTATGTAATATCAGATTCAACCCATTTAATTACTTACTCCCACAAGTGGGAAACACAAGTATGGGTGAAGGCTGCTTAAAATATTAGGAGAAACAGGGTCTCAAATTCATTACTTTTTTATCTATTCTCCCCTAATTTATTACTAAAATAAATTACATTTTATTAAGAATTTAATTTAAAATCAGAACGTCATGAAAAGCAGGGCAACAATGACCTGATGGTACAAATTACACAGCCAGTTATTACATATGGTTGAGGCAACATCTATGTGTGCGCAGGGAAAGAGACGGCTAAATTCAATGAGCCAACAGATTTTTACTTTGCTGGACAACAAGTAATTGATTTCTCTTATGAAGAAAATATTTTAAACCAATTGTGAGTCTGTATCACAAGGATGCCCCTAGCTTACTAAAACAAATAGGTGTGACTGATGTGTCTTCACTCTGCAATGCTGGCTTTAAGGCTTGTATTTCTGCTTGAAATCCCAAGGAGAGACAATAAGTTTGGGACAATCTTAGGCAATTTTCACAAAGCCAGAGTAGGCGGCTGGTAAAGGGAAATTTGGATGGCAGTCAAAACACATAAATTAATCAATAAGTCATATTTCAATTCAATTACTGACAAATACTGTTTAGAACCCGACAGTGATCCTTGCTCTGGAAGGAAGAATAATCATCTAAATTACAATGAACAGCCACTTCTGCCCCTCTGCTTTCTCAAGCCAACAATACATTTCAGATGGACTTATACAATTTCAACTTACTTCAGATCCTCTCTCTCCTTTTAGTCCTTGTTCACCTTGGTCACCCGGCTCACCCTTGAACAGGAACCAAAATAGAAACCACATATGAAGGAGAGACTAAATAAGACATGTTAACATTATTATTTTTTAAATGCCAGATTTACAAAGAATGCTTTCAAAACATACTGGAGGCCCTTGTTGTCCAGTGGCACCTCTTGATCCTGGTATACCCATATGACCCTAGGAATAGAAAAGGTTATATTATTAGATTAAACAGAGACATGTGACTTAGAGAATACGTTAGTATCTTTTCAAATGGTAGCAAAATGTTTTCAAATTTAATTTAAGTATCAGAGAGATTATGATTCTCTCTTGTCAATATTATAGAACATAATGGCCACTGGGTATGATGGTGACTGAGAAAGAGTATAAGTTTTGTGTTTTTTTTGTTTGTTTTGTTTTGTTTTCATGGAGATGAGTGTAATGGGTTGAATGGTGGCCCACTAAAAGATGTCTATGTCCTAATCCCCAGAATTTGTGAATGTGATCACATTTAGAAAAAGGGTCTTTGCAGATACCATTAAATTAGGATCTGAAAAGGATATTATTCTGGATTATTCATGTGGGCTTAAATCCATTGATAAGTGTCCTTATAAAAAAAAACTAGAGGCCTGGTGCACGAATTCATGCACCAGTGGGGTCCCTTGGCCTGGCCTGTGGGATCGGGCGGAAACCGGCTCTCTGACATTCCCTGAGGGGTCCCAGATTGCGAGAGGGCACAGGCCAGGCTGTGGGACTCTACTGGTGCACAATTGGGGCTGGGGAGGGATATGGGAGGTTGGGCAGCCAGGCAGGGACCACAGGAGGGCTCCAGGGTGTGTTTGGCCTGTCTCATTCAGTCCTGATAGGCCGGGACCCAGCAGCAAGCTAACCTACCAGTCAGAGCGTCTGCCCCCTGGTGGTCAGTGCACATCATAGTCATTAGCATATTATGCTTTGATTGGTTGAATGGACGACCAGATGATTGGACACTTAGACACTTAGCCTTTTATTATATAGGATACAGTGAGAGAGCAAGGGTAAGAGAGAGCCAGAACTGGAGCAAGAGAGAGAGAGAGAGAGAGAGAGAGAGAGAGAGAGAGAGAGAGAGACTGAGAGAGAAACAACAAAGGAGAGGACCATGTGAAGGCAGAGGAGAACTGGAGTGATGCAGCCACAAGGAACACAAGGAACATTGTCAGCCACCAGAAACAGGGAAAGACCAGGAAGGATTCTATCCTAGAGCTTCAGGAGGGAGCATGACCCTGTTCACATCTTGATTTCCAATCTCAGGTCTCCAGTACTATGGAAAAATAAATTTATGTTGTTTTAAGCCACTCAGTTTTGGTAATTTGTTATGGCAGGCTCAGGAAACCAAAACAGCAAATAATAAAAGGAATAAAGAGCTTGAGAACAAATTTCTGTTTTCAACCTGTTCCCACTGTGGAAATGTGCTACAGTCACCATTTTTACAAACTAAGTTCATAGCTGTTTGGATAAATTTACTGGGTTCAAAGCTGGGAGCCTATATACATCAAGTGATTGACCTTCAGCAACCTGTCATCATCCCACTTCTCCTAAGAAGGAACGCTGACCTACCACATTGCCCTTTCCAAGTGTGTAAACAGAAACTATTTCAGGTGAGAGTTATGCATAAATAATTATGCATATAATCTCTTCTATCCCCTTTCCTACTGTCCTCTTCACTTCAGATTTTTCTTCCTAGTCTCTTCCTAGTCTTTTATTCAGAAAAAAATGCCATAGGAAAGACAGCAGGCTCATCTCCCTTTTCTGGGCTAGGAGAAGAAATGACTGCAAACATAGGCTAACAATATTTATTCTCACAGAAAGATCAATTGAAGCCTTCTTGTTTGCATTCTGTGAGGCAAATGTTTACGGTTTTAAGATTCAACTTCCTGATAAAGGAACGGAATCGTGTTTAAGGGTGTAAACAGTGGCAAGAGAGAAAGGCTAGTTTGAAACGCTTTCTATAGCAGATGGTCATAACTACAGAGAAAATCATTATAACATATGACCCTTACCAGCAAAACATGAGCAGAGTCAGCAAATAACAGAATCAGGGCAATCAAGAGGGAGTCTGTTATGAGTAAATATGACTATTATAGATCACTTACCAAACAGGATTCAGGAGAGAAGTGATTAGTAAAAAGCTGGAGTTACAGAGCGAAGTGAGAGTGAGCATATGTGCAAACTCCAGAACTCAAACTATGATGGCTAGTTATGGCTTTGCTACCACTCTTGTCTGTATTTTTGCACAGAGCTTTTTAGAATGAGCACATAGAATAGCCAACTGTATCTTTTGGCTTTGAGAAGTCTGGATACAAGTCTCACCCCAAACAAACTTGCTTCTAGGAGTTTCACTATAATTCTTCTGGTCTTTTCTGTTCTAATAAATATTGACAAAGATAATTTTTTCTGCAATGGTGAACACTAAATATTTTGAAGTAAACATTATTATAAAGTTATTGTAGGCAAAGTTATGGGAAATGATTAATGTTGACTGATATTAGGTGGGAGCAGTTGGATGGCTGAGGGGAGCTTGGAGAAGATTTTATAAAGGAAGTGATGGTAAACTGAATATTGAAGGATGAGTGTTCCAGGCAGTAAAGTAAAAAGATGGCATTCTGGCTGAGAAAACAGCATAGGGGAATAAATGAAGATTCATCTGACAGAACATGCTAAACAGAGAATGGATTTGAGATAGGGATAGGGATAGGGATATTAAAATAATTTGGGTAAAAAATACTTAAGCCTAAACTAAAGTAGGGCAAGGTGGCAAAATACAGATGCAAAAAATCCTAAGAAATAAAACACAAAAATACATTAAAAAATAATACATCATGATCAAGTGGGGCATAAAAATGGTTCAAGATATGCATATCCATTAATGTAATATACCACATTAACAAAAGAAAGCATAAAATCATATGATGCAAAAAATTTGATAAGATACAACATTCATTTATGATTAAAACACTAAACAAAATGGGTATAGAAGGAAAGTACCTCAATATAATAAAGGCCATCTATGACAATCCCTCAGCCAATATCATACTCAATGGTGAAAAACTGAAAGCTTTTCCTCTAAAATCAGGATGCCTGCTCTCACCACTCTTATTAAAACCTAGTTCTGGAAATCCTAGCTAGATCAATCAGGCAAGAAAAAGAAATAAAAGGCATCAGAACTAGAAATAAAAAAAATAAAAGTGTCACTTTTTGCAGATGACATGATTTTGTATTTGGAAAACCCTAAAGACACCACCAAAAATATTAGAAATAGTAAACAAATACAGTAAAGTTGCAGGATACAAAAATAAGTGCACAAAAATCCACTGTTTTCCTATATATTAACAATGGAATTTCAGAAAACAAGTGGAAAAAACACATACAATTTCTTTTGCAACGAAACTAAAAGAATAAAGTTCATAGGAATAAATTTAACAAAGAATGTAAAAGTCCTATATACTGAAAACTACAAAGCATTATATTAAAAAAGACAGAAAAGACACAATGAAATGGAAAGATATTCCATGTTCATGGATTGGAAGAATCGACGTAGTTAAAATGGCCATATTACCCAAAGGAATATACAAATTTAATGCAATTTCCATCACCAATATCATTTTTTTAAAGAAATAGAACAAAAAATTATCAGATTTATTTGGAACTAAAAAAGACCCTAAATGGCCAAAGCAATCCTGAGAAAAAGAACAAAGCTGGAGGTAACATACTACCTGACTTCAAACTATACTACAGAGCTATGATAATCAAAACAGCATAGTACTGGCAGAAGAACAGACACATAGAACAGAACTGATACACCAGAAATAAAACTACATGTATATGGGCAAATAATTTTTGACAAAGGAGCCAAAAACACATGATGGAGAAAGGAAAGCCTCTTCAAGAAATGGTGCTGGGAAAATTGGAAAGCTACACACAAAAGAATGAAACTAGACAACAGTTTGCCCCCATGTACAAAAATTAATTCAAAATGGATGAAAGACCTAAATATGAAATCTGAAACAATAAATTACATAGAAGAAAACATAGGTACTAAACTCATAGAGAGATTTTATGAATTTGACCCCAAAGGCAAGGGAAGAAAAGGCAAAAATAAATAAATGGGACTATATCAAACTAAAAAGCTTCTGCAAAACAAAAGAAACTGCTGACAAAACAAAAAGACAACCAACCAAATATGAGGTGATATTTGCAAACAACAGTTCTGACAAGGGGTTAATATACAAATTATAAAAAGAACTCATACAACTTAACACCAAACAAGCAATTCAATTAAAAAATAGGCAGAGGACCTGAACAAACACCTCTCCCAAGAAGACATACAAACGGCCAATAGATATATTAAAAAAATGTTCAACTTCACAACTACAATGAGATACCACCTCATACCTGTTACAATGGCTATTATCAAGAAGACAGGTAATAACAAGTGTTGGAGAGGTTGTAGAGAAAAAGAAACCCTCAGTCACTGCAGGTGGGAATGTAAACTGGAATAGCCACGATGGAAGACAGTATGGCAGCTCCTCAAAAAATTAAGAATACAGTTACCAGATGAGCCAGCAATCCCTCAAACACATTTACTTGCAAAGATATATGCACCCCTATGTTCATCGCAGCATTATTCACAGTGGCCAAGACATGAAGACATCAAAGTATCCTTTTGATAAAAAAGATGTGGTATTTATACTCTGGTACACTACTCAGCCATTAGAAAAGATGAAATACTGCCATTGTGACAACAGAGATGGACCTTGAGAATATTATGCTAAGTGAAATAAGTCAGTTAGAAAAAGCTCAGACCATATGATTTCACTCATATATGGGATATAAAACTGAAACTCATAGACACAGACAATAGTATGGTGATTACCAGAGGGGAAGGGAGGGGGAGGAATTAGTATGGGGTAAAGGGGGCCAAATATATGATGATGGAAGATGATTTGACTTTGGATGGTGGGCACACAATGCAATATACAGATCACGTATAATAGAGTTGTACCCTGAAAACCTATATGATCTTATTAACTAATGTCACCCCAATAATTGTAATAAAAAATAAAATAATAAAACTGCTCTAAAGGAAAAAAGAAAAGCAAACATTTAAAAAATATAACCAGCGGCTACAACAGAATAACCTAACTCTAAATGAAGCATAATTCCCCTAAGTGAATCAAACCAGTGTTTGGGAAAACTTGGCAGGAAACAAGTGTGAATATTCATGAATTTGAGATTTCTAAGCAATAAAATTAATGTGGTCTGGCATGAGACAAATGTTTAGAGTAGAACCATCAGCAAACGGTAAAATTATCTCTAAAGCCTAAGGACAGAATAAGACGGACTAGCACAGAACAACACAGAAAGAAAGATGGGGTTCAAAGCAGTATAGGAAACATCCCCAATTGAAAACTTCACCGGCAGTATTTTTGGAATGAGAAAGGAGAAACAGGTTCCAAAGTGAACTGAGGGAAAAGTTCTCCTCTGATGAAGTATTTCTGAAGGGTATGTGACTATCTAGTAGAATGGGGCCAGGGTTTTCTCTTCTCAGCCAGTGCAGAGATTCTTTCCTTCTCCCAGTAGAATAGTTAACCGTTTGCCAGTAAACATGCTGATTTAACTGCCTAATGGTTTGTAGTTGGTAGAGGCCAAAAAAAGATATTGCAAGAACCTGATTTTCCTGAAAATGTTGTGAGAAGTCACAGCAAAAGCTAAGAAAGTTTAACCTTCTCAAATTATGCTGGAAAGCAGTGGGTTGGTGTCACAACCCAAAGAAAAGCTAATTTTAAGTAAACCCACTGGATTCATTGAGTTAGGAAACACTTGCAGATACAGATGTTATATAAATTGGAAACAGAAGATAGTCATCACCACAATTTCACAAACATTTAGAGCTTCCTTCAACATTTGCTTCAAAGAGAGTTTGAGGAAGTAAAAGTTGTTCTTTCAGATTTCGGGCTTGAGAAAAGTCAGTTAATTAATCATAGTTATTTACATACTAGCTATCCATTCAATCTGGCTAAGTCCTCCTTTCAGATGTGGAGGAAAAGGGGCCACATACCAAACCTGACAAGCTCAGAGGAGGCCTGTATGGCAGTCTTACAAACTCAGAGACTGAAAGTAACCACAAAGGATGGTTTGAAATTAAAACTTTTTAACTAAAAGCAGTTTATGGTGAGTAGTCATGTCCTAGGCTAGAAATCTTCCCTGACAAAGGTCAATTTTCACCTTAACAAAGCCTGTCTGTTGTCATTTTGCAACTACAATAAAATACCTTTGGAATGTCAAAATAATTTCCTTTTACTGGACCCCTCAAAGCACAGGCACTGCTCTGCTCCACTGAGATGACAAATGCCCTCATTGTTAATTGACGACTGCTAACTATTCTGTGCCCATCTATGCGAAAGAAGTATGTGTCTATCATTTTACTTTTTATCCAATCCCAGAGGTTCCTGCCCTTGCCCTTGCTTTCTCCTGCCTCCACAATCTATCACCAATGGATTTCATGTAACCCACTTATATTTCCTCTTTTGATTAAAATAAGGTGCAAAACTGCCATTCGCTGGAACTTTTCAATCTGTTGAGATTTTGCTTCATGGCAATTGTCCTCAGTTTGGCTCAAATAAACTCAGAAATTTTCTACAGGTTTGAATGTTTCTTATGTCGACACAGAAAGGATCACAAGTATTTTACATGAAAGAGGGGTATGTTGGATAGAATAGCCCATCATTCATTATTAAAAGTGAATTATGTTGATGTACTATTATTTATGGGCTTAGAACAAGGCATTATACAAGAAAAAAAGAAGTCATATTCAAAATTGGAAAGCTAAAATACCTACATGTGAAAAGCAGGAAGCAAAAAAATTTGCAGCAGATGGTAAAATTTTTTGTGTTGAATGACTTCTATAAACAATAAATATTCTAGGATTACAGAAGAGGGAACGATTGCTATTAGAGTGGGTCAAGGGAAGAGGGAGTTTGAATTAGATCATAAAAAAATAGATAGGATTTATGTAAGTAAAGATTATATAATATTGTTAACAAGCAGAGAACATTGTGAGCAAAGAAATAAGACAGGAAGTATAAAAAGAGAGTTAGCAGATTTTGTTTAGCAACTGACATTATAAACTGAAAGGGAAAAGATATAAAGCAAGAATACAGAACACCTTCAAAACAATTGAGCTAATAAAAAAATGACACTGAATGAATTCTAGTCTAATTTTGGCTGATTAAATTGGTCACATAAAGGGAAAAGATATAAAGCAAGAATACAGAACATCTTCAAAACAATTGAGCTAATAAAAAATGACACTGAATAAATTCTAGTCTAATTTTGGCTGATTAAATTGGTCACATAAAGTCCTTCTGAGAATGGATGAGGGTAAGAATTGAGATAAGGCTTGAGAACATTATGACTTTCACCCATCCACCTGACAACTTTTTATTGAATTCCTACTATATACCAGGGACTTTGTGTTCTAAAAATTGGGGATATAATAATGAAAAAGACAGTGTTATACTCATGGATCTTAAATTTTGGTGGTGGGAGATAGATAATAAACAACTCCCCCCACAAATATGTAAAATAAGGTATTATAGATAGCATTAAATGTCATGAAGGATAAACAAGTAATATGATATAAAGTGATGGATAGAAAGGGCAGTTAGAGAAGGCCTCTCAGGAAGGAACATTTCAGCTAACATCTGAAAGATGAGAAGAAAGCAGCAATGGGAGGAGATGATTCGAGAAAGAAGGAACAGAAAGCGCAAACAGCTGGACTTCTAGGATAAAAAAAACCCATGACATTACTAATGATCTCAATGATGCTTATTTTCATTTGAAACTGAGCAGAACAACAGAGAACCCTATTCAAGCTTAGAAGCAAGGTGTGAAATTTGCAGTGATTACCTTATATCCCTCTTCTCCAGGCTCTCCTCTCTCTCCTTGTTCCCCCATTGGACCCTACAGAGACCACATGCAAAAATAATCAATTTCACAGCTGGATCTAAAAATTCGTAACCAAATGCATAATAAATTTATTAAGTTCCATTAAGTAATTTCAAAGCATTGAATTTCAATGACACAAAGAACATCATAAACATTGCATTTTTAAAGAGATTCTCATGATTCTGCTAGAAAAAAATATTTTAAAAATGAAGCATAAATAAATATAAATTAAAAAAGATTTAAGCAGGACCACTCAGCCATTTAATTTCACTTACTATACTTTACAGTTCTTAATAATTAATTATATTATTTATTCTCTAATCTGTGAAATTTAAAAATCTTAAGACAAATTAACCTAAAAAACACTACACTTATTAATTTTAATCTTTAATGTAAAAACTAATTTAATAAACTCACACACTTCTAACTTTTCTAAACATTTCTAATATAAAATTTTTGATATAAGCTGTTCAAATGATCTAGTCTAAAATACACTTGAAAAAATCAATTATCACATACGAGGACCTACTTTCTGAAAAGAAGCTCAGATTGAAATTAGCTGGGAAAACCATAAAATTTATTCTGAACAATTAGTTGATAAACTTTAACTTATTCCTTTGTGAAAAATAAAGATAATAGACATAATGTAAAACCCATGATCTTTGATTCTGCTTTTTAATTATTTAGAATCTTGTTTAAGTTTCCCATCTGTCCCATGTATACTAGTTAAAATCACCAGTGTTATGTTAGACTTTTAATATATTTATTATCAGCTTTGTGCAGTGGCAGTATCGTAGCCAATGAGGTTTATCCGAGGCGCGATTATTGCTAATTGAAAACTTAATATATTTATTAAATTTCAGTGACATTCTTAGATCCTGGAAAAGCTGAATCTGGGGAAAAGAAGTACTACTATACTCCATTTACCCATACTTTTCCATTTGCTTTTAAATTTCTGCATTATTTCCATATTTTTCCCTCTCAGAGGATTAGAGCCTTCTCTCTTTTTTAAAAATATATTTTATTGATTTTTTACAGAGAGAAAGGGAGAGGGATAGAGAGTTAGAAACATCGTTGAGAGAGAAACATTGATCGGCTGCCTCTTGCACACCCCCTACTGGGGATGAGCCTTCAACCAAGGTACATGCCCTTGACTGGAATCGAACCTGAAACCTTTCAGTCCGCAGGCCGATGCTCTATCCACTGAGCCAAACCAGTCAGGGGGAGCCTTCTCTTTTAATAAAGAATCTTATATATTCTTTAAAATTTTTTAAAATATATTTTTATTGATTTCAGAGAGGAAGGGAGAAGGAGATGGAAACATCAATGATGAGAGAGAATCATTGATTGGCTGCCTTCTGCATGCCCCCAACTAAAGATCGGGCCCACAACCCAGGCATGTGCCCTTGACTGGAATCGAACCTGGGACCCTTCAGTCCACAGGCCCACGCTCTATCCACTGAGCCAAACCAGCTAGGGCTTATATATTCTTAAAGATAAGTTTGCCTCTAGGCATACGAAATGGCTTGCTTTAATCAGAAAAATTCTAGAATCTTTCCTTTCTATTTCTATAACAATGTATAACTTTCAATGACCACTAAAAATCCAGTTCAAAATATCTGGAGTGACTACATATTCTGATCTTTCTGCTTGAGGATTCTTTTTTATTTTTTTAAAATATGTTTTTATGGATTTCAGAGAGGAAGGGAGAGGGAGAGACAGATAGAAACATCAAAGATGAGAGGGAATCATTGATCCGCTGCCTCCTGCATGCCCCCGACTGGGGATGGAGCCCGCAACCCAGGCATGTGCCCTTGACCGGTTCCTACAGGTCTGCTTAAACATCACCCTTTGAATCAGGTTTTCCATTTCCACCCTTTGAAACATTGCAAACTCCTTTCTCTCCCAGATAGCTAGTACTCCCTTTGACCTTTTCTTATTATTATTATTGTCTAAAGTTTTACATATGTCTCCTCCCCACCACCAGCCCATTGACCCTCACCCCTCCAGCCATTCCCACCCCAGGCAAGCCCCCACCGCCCCAGTGTCTGTGTCCATTGGTTATGCTAATATGCATGCATACAAGTCCTTTGGTTGCTCTCTAACTACCCCCCACCCCCACCTCCCCTGCCATTTGTCTCTGGATCTATTTTTGTTCATCAAATTATGTTGATCATTATATCCCACATATGAGTGAGATCATGTGATATTTATCTTTCTCCGACTGGCTTATTTCGCTTAGCATAATGCTCTCCAGTTCCATCCATGCTGTTGCAAATGGTAAAAGTTACTTCTTTTTTTTTTTTTAATAGCATAGTATTCCATTGCATAGATGTATCACAGTTTTTAAATCACTCATCTGCTGATGGGCATATAGGCTGTTTCCAAATCTTAGCTATTGTAAATTGTGCTGCTATGAACATAGGGATGCACATTTCCTTTCTGATTGGTGTTCCTGGTTTCTTGGGATTTGGTCCTAGAAGTGGGATTACTGGGTCAAATGGGAGTTCCATTTTTAACTTTTTGAGGAAACTCCATACTGTAATGTTCTTATTAGATACCATACTAAAACTCCACCAAAAATCTTTCTTAAAGATTAGTTGCAATGTAGAATCTGAAACCAGACCAATGAGCTTTTCACACTCTAGTGGTTACAATAAAGTCCATTGGTTTATCTTGTACTTTGAATATAAAAAACTGGTTAGAAGTCTTTTTTTTTTTTAATCTTTATTGTTGAAAGTATTACGTAGGTCTTTCTTTTTCCCCAAGGTTAACCTCTTCCTGCCAGCTCCTGCTTCCACTCCACCTCCAGGCCCTCAGGTTAAATGAGTCTTTAAATCATTTGCTGTGTGTAAACTACTATAAAAGGGGTACAAATCAGATATTTTAAAATACTTCAGAAATAAATCTGAATTTGGTGACTAAAGAAATATCTCCCCTAAAATGTCTACAGTATGTAATTTTAAAATAATCTCTATAAAAGGTGTTATCATGCTTTTAATGCTGAAAGTTAGATTTAGAAAGTCACTGTATTAAACTTACATATTGTACAAAGGACCTTGACCTGCATATAAATAGCTTTCATATTTAGATTATGTCGCTACAGATACTGCTGTTCTATAAAGATCATGTTACAAAAGTAACAAAATAAAATTCTTTGAAAGGATGTGACTGATGTTTTGAATCTATTATAGTAATTACATTTTATCTTGAACATCAAAATAATTTCAGAAAAAGACCTACTGGTTCACCTCGAGGCCCAGGTGGTCCTAGGACTGTGTTATCTTCTCCTGGATAACCCTAAAACGAAGATAATGATTTACAAAACGACAAGTTAATAAAATGATCAGCACACTATACAGCCTATTATTTTCTAATATGTCATGAAATATACAATCTGGTTTTATCCTTTTTAAATGGAAAATTTTTACCTACAAAACTTAGCATGATATTTTATTCATAGTTGTAATTCATATGCAGTTCTCCTTGAATTAATCTGAGTTAATTACATAAAAAGCAGCTTACGATTTTTCTGTGTCAGGTTTCTAATGATGTTACAAATCAAGTGGAGTACTGTTGTAGTTATTCTTAACTCATAAAACATTTTACTATAAATGTACTATGGTTAGTCATTTAATCTACAGCCCCACAACCTCTTTCAATAACAACTTAATTTTACTTTTATAAAACTTTATAGGTTGCAAAATACTTGAATATATATTATTTCACCTCAATCTTGAAACAACCTATGGAAGACAGTTTAATGATTTATTGAAAATTTTCACCCATTGTTATTTCTTTGTTTTTCTTCTAGAATTTGCAATACTTCCTCAATTGAAAAGGGCTTCTTTTATTCTTTGAAATAGTTGCCATGCATACTTTCAGAAAGAACACATGAATTCAATGTTTAACCTTAGGATTAAAAAGTCAATATACACACATGCATACCTTTTCTCCTTTAGGTCCTGGCAACCCAGAAAGTCCTGGTTGACCTTGATGGCCCTAACAAAAGGACAAGCGAGTAGACATTCTCAATAACATTTGTGCATGCTCTACCTAAAACCACCAGGGCCACACTATTAGATATTGCACTATTTTGGAAGAAAAATAGGATTCACTCTATAAGGGGATGAGGCCTAATATGTTTAAAAGGTCTATCAGGGAGATTGTACCTTAATTTGCATACTCGGGATAACATTTTTATATAAATGTTTTCATGCAAATATACACTTTCTTATTTCCAACTAGAGGCCCAGTGCACGACATTTGTGTGCTGGGGGGAGGGGGGGAGGTGGGGGAAGGAGGGTCCCTCAGCCTGGTCTGCGCCTTCTCACAGTCCAGAACCCCTCAGGGGATGTCTGCCTGCTAGCTTAGCAGGAGAGGCTCCTGGTATTGCAGCTACGCTTGTCAGCCTTGAGCCGGCTTCAGGTTGAGCAGCACTACCACTCTGAGAGTGCACTGACCACCAGGGGGCAGCTCCTGCATTCAGCGTCTGCCCCCTGGTGGTCAGTGCGTGTCATAGCAACAGGTTGTCCCACCGTTTGGTCTATTTGCATATTAGCCTTTTATTATATAGGATTAGATTTGCTTACTCTATATCCTGGAATTCCTGGTTCTCCATCAGGTCCCATTAATCCTAAATGTCCCTAAAAAACAATATTAGAGAGAAAATAGATAATTGTTTAAATCATTAAACTTATACTGCTATTATTTAAAATTTAAATTTTTTACGGTACAAATTACCACTTAGTCTGAAATGGGAAAACAAAAAATCACACTCTAACTTTTGCCTCATTTTTCTTATGAGCCACAAAAGTCCCACAGAAAAGCTTACAGAGGAGAACCAAGATGGTGGCATAGGTAAACACCGGAGTTTGCTGCCTCGAACAACCACTTCAAAAATACAACTAAAAGACGGGAAGGACATCATCCAGAACCACAGGAAGGCTGGCTGAGTGGAAATCCTACAACTAGAAGGAAAGAGAAAACCATACCGAGACTCAGAGGAGGCGCAGTGCGGAAGTAAAATACTAAGGTGTGGAGGTTGCATGTGGAGTGGGCTGGCGGCTGAGGGTGCGGTTGTCATTTTCAATCGGGAGGGAGTCTCAGGCTCTGAGCTCCAGATCCGGGCGA